ACAGATCCTGAAATGGGCGATCACCTCACGCTTTGGGAAACCAGTTTTATATCGTTTCAAAGTAGTGTCGTAGTTCGAAATTTTTAGAACTTTGATTTCTCGAAAACTATTCATCCCTTACCGACCGGGCTTTGCAAGGCAGTTTATATTCATGGGCCGAACATTCCCTGATAGTTCCTATCCCCTGAGGTAAATAATAAAAAAATAAAAAATATCCCCAAAAGTCAAGACTCGAACCTACGACACGGAGAGCCGAAATGAGCAGCGATCCAGCACGCAACTTCCTGAGCCACCAGACCACACACTAGAACTGCCATCTGACACCGATATACGAGGCATGGCTTCCTTGACCCTTCAGAAATCGGGGCGCGCGTGCCTCCGGCCCGGGAAGCCAGAAGAGCCACCATTCGGCCGCTCCGTGACAGAAATTTCAACGTAAATCGGCTTTAGCTCTGGACCTATTGGAGCTACAGCGTCCAAATTTCGGCTGTAGATTCTTCTAGTGAAACTGAACAGATCCTAAAGTGCGCGATCACCTCACGCACAGGGACACCAGTTTTATTGCGATTCAAAGTAGGGTCCTAAGGGCAAATTTGTAGAACGTCGTAAAACTGAACAGATCCTGAAGTGGGTAACCACCTCACGCACCGGGAAAACAGTTTTATATCGTTTCAATCTGGGGTCCTAGTTCGAAATTTTTAGAATCTTGATTTCTCGAAAACTATTCATCCAACAGCGACCTGGATGTGCAGGGCAGTTTACTCCCAGGCCCCTTACTGCCCCAGGTACACGTGGCGCAGATGACTATCGGCCATTGGTTGATGGGTTGATGCATACAAACGTAAAGGACAAGTACAACAAATTATGTAAATGTGTAATAGCTGGTTAAATTGCCGCGGCATACAATTTTAGTAACTTACCTTCCTGCAAGTGGGACATTTTCCTCCCAATCCTGGATTCTGCACACAATCATCACAGAAAGTGTGTCCACAAGGCAAGTTCTTAGGACGGTGGTGGTTCAGGTCAAATTGGTTGAAACATATGTCACACTGTAGATCCATCACTGAAAGAAAAAGGTACAGGATTGAAACACTTTGAGAAGATAGTGTTGCCTGAATCATTGCTATATCCAGTTAAGAATTGGTCGTTTCCACGCTTAGCGCAGCGCTCGCTCACGCCGGCGTGAGGCGGGCGAGGGGCAGGGTGCGGGTGCTGTATCCAGTTAAGAATTTTGTCGTTTCCACGCTCAGCGCGCGCTCGCGCTGGCGTGAGCGCGGAGGGCGAGAGGGGAAGCGGGGGACGAAGAGGGTCAGCAGTTCTTCCGACGCTGCCTCCCCGCACCCTGCCCCTCGCCCGCCTCACGCCGGCGTGAGCGCGCGCTGCGCTAAGCGTGAAAACGACCAATTCTTAACTGGATATAGCAGGGGAGGCAGCGGCGGAAGAACTGCTTGCTAACCCTCTTCGTCCCCCGCTTCCCCCTCGCCCTCCGCGCTCACGCCAGCGTGAGCGCGCGCTGAGCGTGGAAACGACAAAATTCTTAACTGGATACAGCACATCAATTGCTATATTCAACTAAGCATTTCTCTGAGCTACGCGCCCCCAAGCCCAAGCACACGCTTCTGCAAGCGTGAGTACGGGGAAGAACGACGCCAGCGATCCACGCCGCGCTAAGCGGAGCTCACGCTTGGGTCACGCTTGGGCCACGCTTGGGGGCGCGTAACTCACGAGAAATGCTTAATTGAATATAGCTTATGCTTTCTTAACCTTAATTCTATGACTTCAGCATAAATGGAATTAACAGACAGGGTATTTTCAGTTTTTACAGTCACAACGAATTCTAATAGCAAAGCTAAAAAGGAATTACGTATACGTATCAACTGACCTGTTCCGCAGCAGTCGATCAGTTCCTAACTTTAAACCGTGTAATAGGGTTCAGTAGTGGCCGGCCAAGCAGTGGCTGTTTATCGAAACGAGAGAAATGAACACTGCTGCGACATTTATACAAAGTTTCCCTCGAGCAGGTGCGGGGGCAAAGGGAAGCACTGCAACCTGTTATTGCCACGCAAAGGGCAGCACAAAAGTCTAAAATTAAATGACGATTAAGTAAACAGGATAGGTTATGATCTGATTCTTCACAACAAGCCGTCTGTCCGCTGTCGGCGTCGGCTGCGGCTGCTTGCCGCTTTGTTGTTGGTTGGCCGGCGGCCGGCAGCAGAAGGCGGTGGGCGCGGCGCGCGTAAATACGAACGCGGTGAGCTGCTCTGCCGGCCTTACTGGCCCTCCGCCGAGCACAGAGGGAAAACTTTGAGCCGGGACTGTCACGTGACTTCAGAATGGTCCCTCATTTTGACATCTTTCTGCGCTCATCCTGATGTAAGTCTGACTCAATATGACGTAATAAGTCCAATATTGGTCACTAATGGTATACCGCCGCTACGGAACGCGCCCTACGGAATCAGTTTTATGGGGGTGGACGGTCGGCCCCAAGAAGCGGCCGGGAAGGAAGTCAAATCGCTGAATGAAACCCCTCTGTGAAAGCAAACCACACTGCCCCCC